GCAGAGATGCTGGCCCGGATGCCCTCGAAAGACATCCTCTTTACGCTGTGACGCTTTGTGGCGGCGGAGGCACGCTGCTTTCCCGGCTTTGGTTCTTCCCGGCCGGCTGCTGCTGCTGTTGTGGCTGCGACTCCTCGTGGGCCGGCGTGTTGCGGTGTTGCTGGCGGCGCGGCGCCTGCCGCGGCGGCAGGGCCAGCGCGCAGCACGACACCCCCACTGTGGGTTCGGGCAGGTCCTCGGCGCGGCCCCAGCTGTCTGTAGCCGGGTGGTAGATCTGGACGGCTGCCTTGTAGCGCTTCTCCGCTTCGTTCCAGCCTCCGATGAGGTACAGCTTTTCGGGCCCCAGAGTGGACAGACCGGCCGTGCTCACCCCCAGGGGAAGCGGGGCGGCACGACTCCATGCCCCGTCGCCCTCAGGGGAGAACACCTCCACGGCCAGGACGTCCACCCGCTCCCCTCCAGGCCCCAGCTGGCTGCCGCCCACCACGTACACCTTGCCGCTGAGAGTGGCGGAGCAGTGCCAGCCACGGGGCGTCTCCAAGGCAGGCTTGTCAGTCCAGGTGTCGCCCTCCACGCTGTAGCAGGCCACAGAGCGCGAGTAGGCGCAGTTGATGTAGCCGCCGGTCACCAGGATGTCGCCCGACGGCAGCGTGGCGCTGGAGTGGCAGCAGCGCGGCACCTCCATGGGGGCGCGCATCTGCCAAGCGTTGGCCGAGGGCAGGTAGCTCTCCACAGTGGCCAGCAGGCCCTCCATGTTACGGCCGCCCGTGGCGAAAAGGCGCCCCCCGCTGGCCGAGAGCGAGAAGTGCGTGCGGCGTTGCCGCATGTTGGCCAGGTGGAACCACGTGTTGAAGCGAGGGTCGTACCTTTACGGTAAGACAAAACAAAATGCAGCATGACTGATCTACTGTCTATTCTCTTGCAACATTATGAGAACAAAGTTGTATTTTATGTAAAAATTTGCAATATTACGAGAAAAAAAACCCATACCAATACATTTGCAGTATTACAAAATAATGCACAGAAATTAAATGTTAAAAAAAAATATGAGAATCACAAAATTTCATGGGGAAAAAAATCAATATTGCCAGAATAACTGTTTCAGAGAATAATTAAGTACCAAAAACTTGCAATATTAAGAGAATAAAGTCAATTTTCTTTCTCTCACAATTTGAACAGCGTTGTTTTTTGTATAACCATTTTGTGTGTTTTTGTCGTCCGTGTGTCACCTGCTTAGAGTGCTGACGGCGTGCTTGGCCTGGTTGCGGGCGTCGTTCTGGTCCTCGCCACCCGCCACGTACAGGAAGCCATCCATGACCGCCACGCACTGGTTGAAGCTTTTAGCCGGCAGCTGCGTGAGGTGACGCCAGGCCGCGCCTCCCTCGCGGGGCTCCCGCCACAGCACCTGGATAATGGCCGCGGTCAAAGGTCAAGGTTGGATTTCAGTTTGATGGGCAATCGGATGATTGACGACTGACCTCACGGCTCAAAGCGCGTTCGGTAAGAGACGGCCGCCCGCCGACGGCGATAAGAGCTTGTTGGCTGCCTCGGACCTGAGTCCGGCGGGACTGCAGAGAGTTTTGTTGGTGGGGCAGCAGGTGGTAGTTCATGGCGTCCACCAGCAGGCGGTGGCACTGCGGGTCCTGCATCATACGGGGCACTGTCTGGATCTGGCTCACCAGCTCGCTCGCCGGGATAGTCTCCAGGCGCACGTGAGACAGCAGCGCCGCAGCGTATGGCTGACGGGATGCCTCAAAATCCAGCCACTTCATTGCCAGCTGGGAAAACGCGCCGGCAAAACACAAAAGTGGGTCATGTAAACTTTCGTTTCGCTTTTTCCTCTTGTTGTCATACAGTTTTTACAAAGGGCTACACCGAAAAATGGAAATGGATACGATGACGATTCATAATCTGATGAGAAAGTCTTTTTTTTCTTTTTTTAAGGAGAAATTCCTAATAGTATGAGAATATAAAGATTTGCGATTTCATGAGAGTTATTGTGGTTTGTTTTTTACAAAACATTTGGAGTATTATGAAAACAAACTTTTGTTCTTAAAAAACATATTTTTTTAACTCAACAGCTTCTCATAATATTCCAACTTTGAAAAAAAAAGGCTTTTCTCTGAAGATGACTACTTTTAAAAATCTAAGAATCAATTTTTTAACATGTAAGATTGACTTTCTCTCTCTCAAAAAAAGGAATTAATTTTATTTTACTAAGATAGCGATTCTTATTTCTCAATGGGGCTTTTCTCAAAACATTGACTGTTTTCTAAAAAAAAAAAACCCAAATTTTAAGATTACACCCACCCACCGCCTTGAATAATTCCACTGTATTTTTTTTGTCATTTTTTCAAAACGTGCAGGTTTACTCTCATAAAATTGTGACTTCAATTTCGCAAGAAAATATAATTTTATCCTTCTAAAATTCCAACTCGTCCTGCTCGAAAATATTGTGCTCTTCTCACCGGTGCAACTCTTTAACCTTCTTCAGCTGTTTGATTTAATTCGAAAGCGCTCGGTGTCAAAAGCCAGAGCAGCAGCTGCTCTCGGTTGTAGTTTGACGCTCGGATGAAAATAGACGCAAGGCCGCCGAGCCCTGTAGGAAATTCCTCGCCCATTGAAGCGCGGATCGAGTTGAGGATTGTTTGGCGTGGGGGAGGGTCTGCACTCTCCCGAGTCACGTTCTGTTGTGACACGATGACAGCTGCTTGTTGTTATTATGCTTTCCATAGTCTGTATTTTTTTTCTATGTAAAAAGTTGCATTTTTTTTAAATGGGCAGATTTACTGACATTCTGATCAGACGTCATTTTGTAAAAAAAGGCACACCTAAGTAACTCGGTAACTATATCAGTGATTGTAACTAAGTAAATGTAAGTGGAACTAAATAAAAAGTAATAGTCACTTAAAGTAACAAAAACAGTAAAAGGAAGCAATAAAAAAAAGGTCGTGAAAAGACTACTGGAACAGCTGAACTTTATTCGGTGTTTATCGGGGGCACTTTAATTTGTGGCAGATGTATGCCGACTCCCATTCAACACGTCGGATTAGTTCTGGACTAACTGCACCTAGTAGAAAGGAACTGTTCTGTTTAATTTTTTTTTTTTTATATTAAGTAACATTCTTGATCGTTTGAATAAGATTGGAAAATTCAGAACATTGCCACATTCCCTATTTTGTAACTAACAAAACAATAAGTTCAGAAAAGCCTACTAGAACATCTGAAGTTCACTTGTTTTTAGAAAAGGGCTTTTTTATTTTTTATTTTATTTTATTTATTTTTTTAGAATGAAGTTACAATTTTTTTGAGGAGAAGGGATTTTGTAAAAAAAAAAAAAAACGAGCATAAAAGTCTGCTATTTCCGAGCAGACTCAACGTGGATTGTGTGGAAAAGCGTACCTGGAAGGCGACGACCTCGGAGGGCAGCGCCAGCGAGTCGTCCTGCAGGAAGGCGCAGATCTGCTCCAGCGTCAGCTGCGTGAACAGCGGCGTGTCGGCGAACTGCACAAAGTTGTCCAGCACGAAGCGACGGGCGGCGTCGCACACCGGCGGCAGGCCGTAGGCGGCGGCGATGTTCCACACGTACACGCACGTCTGCACGTTGAGCTCGGCCAGCAGGAAGTCGGTGCACATCTTCAACAGCTGCGGGATGTGCAGCGTGGACGCCGCCGACACCGTGCAGCCGATAGTGTACAGGGACATGTGGACGCGGCCCAGGTAGGCGAACGTGATCACGTTGGCCAGACCTGACAGTGGGATCCCAATCAACCAATCGCATTCAAACTCATGCGAAATGGCAAGTTAGTCAGTCAGCAAGTTCAGAATGAAGCAATCAAATTCAAAACCATGATTTATGTGAGTCAGAACAGACCTGCCAGCACTTACGGTGCCCCTATTTAAAACCAAATCAAGTTCAGCTGTTCTAGTAGGCTTTTTTCCCCCCTACATTTTTGCATACTTTTACTTTAGTGACGTAATCAGTCACAGTTATTTAATGACAATTGCCGTTACTTAGCCAAAGATTTAAACGGTCATAATTTGTTTTGTTTTTTTCAAAATAAAAAAAATGGTACCAATCATGAACCAAATCGAGACTTTCCAAGGCAAAATAGCTGTAATGTTACAAAAACTACTTTTGTTTGGTTAAATGTGGAGGACAAAATTAATTTTTTTTCTTGAAAAAATTTTTAGGAGAATAGACGTTTGTAAGTATAAAGGCGAAATATGACAACAAAAAGTTTGCAACTGCATAAGAATAGGATCAAAATTCAGAATATTGCAAGAATATAGTCAGATTCCCCGTCTCCCACTTTTCCTTTTTTTTTTGTAAGATTACTTCTCAGCGCTTCTAGAAGTCGCGAAATCATTTGTCAGCACACCGACTTTTCTGTCCTGAAGTTTGTTCTCTGACACTACAAAATGGCCGACAATTCCACAGCAGAAAAAAGCAACAACAATGTCGTGCAGTGATGGAAAACCCTACATTGACCGCAACTTTTATTTTTTTTTCCTGTTCCGGGAACAAAAACTGTAAGTGGTTAGTCATTTTGAGTACGACTTTGGTCTTACCAAGAGGCGAGAGCGAAGGCAACTCCAAACGCTTCATGTCAGGATCTTTAGCCAGGATCTCCCTGAAGTACTGACTGATGGACGAGATCACCAGCTTGTGGACGTCAAAGGATTTGGTCTTGCAGCTCAACTCCAGATCGGTCAAGAACCTAATGAGGAACGTCACAAGTTTAATGAGGTCAGATGACATTTAAAAAAAGCAAAAATATAGCAATTCTTGAACTCACTTCTCCTGGCGCATCTTACTGAGCTCCTCCAGCATAGCGTTGCCGTGCAGCGGGCGCGTGAGCTCGCTGCCCAGTCCCAGGCCTCGTTCTCCGGGCTTGAGGACGGGCGGCGGCAGGGGGAGGTTGAGGCTGTTGAGCTGAGCGATATCCAACGCCGCCATCTGCTCGATCTTCTTGGCGGCACTCTCCACCACCACCACCACGCCTTCGCCGCGCCGTTCCACCTTCAGGGTCGGCGAGGCCGTCTCCGCCACCACCTGGGGGAGGGGCTCCAGCGAAGACTTTTTCAGGTGCGCGGCCTTCTTCTTGGGGGCCATCTCACTTCTTGTCGCTTGCTAATGAGAATAGGAGCTTTCTGTCTTAATCTGAGCCAAGCTTTCTTTACTTTTTTCTTTCTTTCTTTCTTTAGTTCTATTTTTTGGGGACTTTTGGACACAACACACTGCACCTACAAACATGGAAAAAAACATTTGTTACACGAGCGACATCAGCATTGATTCTTAATACAACACCCTACAGTATTCGCCACCCATTTGAAGCATTCGAGAACAGCTCAACTTCATTTTGCATCTGAGTAAGTGACCCTTTGCACCGTAAAAGCAGTGGAAATAAATAATTATAACTAAGTCACTAAATAACTACCAGTTACTAACTATAACTAGAGAAAAATGTGCCAGGAAAAGCCTACTAGAACACCTGAAGTTTATGTTGTGGTTCATCAGTGTCACTTTGCATTCTGAAGGCAGTGTAAATACAATTAAGTAACTTGTAACTGTATTTAAATAACTAACTGTCCATAAATAAAGTAAAAGTAAGCATGAAAAGCCTACTAGAACATCTGAACTTTATTGGAGGTATAAATCACTGCACGTCGTAATTTTTTTTTTTCTGAGTTCATTCTCGAACGATTGTTTTTCTTGAAATATGTGATTGTACTTTATTTTTTTCTGAAAAAGTATTCCTGGGTGAAAGTTACCAATTGCGAATATCTGTGCTTAAGTTGACCCGCATATTTTCAAGTTTCCAATTGCTGCGCGAAATTCTGCAGGCATTCTGTGTCAAAGAAGCGTCATGGTTTTTCAAGTCATCTCTTTTGGGGTGTGGTGGTGGTGGCGGGGAGATGACGGCAGCTGTGTCCCGTTCCGGCCTTGGCCCCGATATTTAAAAGCGTCTGACATTATTTCCATGCCACTGAATCAATTCCACGGCAGGTGATTGGTTGCCGCGCACCACGTCACAACTTGGGGGGGAATGACATGGCCAACAGCTGCCGTCCGTCCTCCAGCGCTGGGTCACCCCGGTCTTGTCCCGGCCCACCTTGTCCATGTGTGGCTCCTCTTACCTGAGCTATTTCAAATGACACCCCCACTCGAGATGCAGTTGGGGGCTAATGAGCTCATACTGCAGTGGATTGGATCATGTTCCCATTTGTGCTGATGAGGAAAGCTTTGGCACACCATTAGTTTGTTTACGTCAGCCATTCGCCTCCGATGGAAGCAAAAACATAAAGCGACGTATATATGGTTATCTTTTTATCTACAAAATGCTCAATTGCAAAAGGTATGAATTGCGTAATCGTTAGCCAAATGATAGCTATCCAATGCTAACTTGGCTTCGATTGTGTCCGATTATGTTTGACAATAACGTTTTCATCTTAGATTTAAATTAGATTTGTCACATTGACAAGTTATTCAGGGAGGCTGAAAAGGTCAAGCACATAAGTTACTCCCTGCCAAATGCGAAAAATTTCTTTCAGTCTGTAACTTTATTTTTTATTTTTTTTGTCAATGTTGAAATGAAACCATCACACTCTGAACTTTCTCAAACCTCCAAAACAAAAACATGAACTTTGCTTATCTCAGCAGAGTATTTATAGACACTTGGCAGATACGCGAGTACAGTATACCCACGAGAGCTACAATGTCACACCATTCAACAGTGGCAGCTAAATGACTCCTCATCCCAAATATTGGGTTAATCCATGTTTAATGATTAAAATAGATGGGTTGCATTTGTGTTCAAATATCCATTGTTTGAACGTTAGAACCCTGCCAAATCAATGCTGTTCGTTAGCCCATCTGTGGTAATTTGCATGCAAGTAGGAAGAAAACGTCAGTCTTGTTTATTCACAAACACGTAAATCTTGAGAAACAGTGCTGCCCGATTCAAATCTAATAAATGAAAACAAGAGTCAGTGTACCTTTCTCTCCTGTCTGCTTGGACTCTTCACCCTTTTCCTTCCTGTTGCTTTGTTGATGTTCTCACTAATTCCTCACTGCTCATTCCCCCTGTCACTCAACCACGGTGCTGTGTTGTGTCAATGTGTTGGTCCATGTCGCAGGGTCCAAACTACAGTTGTGACGTAAGTTTCAAGCCCCCCAACGCATGTCCCCCTGACAGCAGTATCTCCTTGAGAGCACATCGAACCACCTCCATGTCCAAATACAGGCACCCACAGCAGCCACCCTGCCAGAAATAAACCATAAGAGGCCCGATTGGCAGACCCAACACCCAGAGACTTCGGCATTAGTTGATTTGACTGTTCAAAGTGAAAGTTCCTATGTTTGTCAGGAAAAAAAAATACATCGAAACAACTTGGTGACATTTAAAATTCGTTACTCATTTCCTTTCAGCTCAAATTTGGCCCTTTCTGCTCCAAATAAAAACTTGTCTCATTGAAGTATATCTGCTGCCCCCAAGTGGTCAGGCATGTTAATGGTGAGCGTAATCAAAATAAACTTAACTCGCGTAAAAAAACCTCTCAAAACACGATTATTTGTTCAGTATTATTAAGGACTGTTTTTTTTTTGTTTTGAATTTTTTTAACGATTAGATTACATTTTTAAGTTCTCTTATAACAGCCATATTTAAATCAAATAAATATTCAAATAAATGACCCATTAAAAATAACACGCATGCCGACGTAAACAGGGGAAAGCTCTCAGCTGCTCTGACCTACTTCCGGTTTCCGTGACCACTCTGTGAACGTTTAATATTCCCCCTGTTTTTATTTTAAGAATATAGATTGCATAGTTTCGCTGCCTTTAATTATTCACATTTTCCAAATTAAAAAAATTCATATTTGTGTTTCAAACGCCGCGTAGAGGTAGCGGAAACTTTGCTTCCCCGCTGCCATTGAGATGAAGCCGCTTCCGGGCCCAGCATTTGCCACCAGTTAACATGGCGGATGAGCTGCTGGAAACAGTGGACAGACTTCAGTCCCGGCTCATGGAGAGCCCTGAGCCGCGAAAGGTAACACATGTGCGGTGTGAGCGAGGGTTTCGGCAAAGTGTTTAATGGCGTCCTTTTGCCACCCCGAGGCCGTTTGTCACCAGAACCCCAAAAGAAGCGGAGGCCTTGGCAGGTCCCGCAATGGGTCTGAAAGGATGCGTTCATAGACATCGGGATCCCCAGGCTTTTATGGAGGGCGCACAAATTATTTGAGTTCAGCAGCACTGCATTCTTAGTTCATTCATGTTCATTCTGAGGTTTATATTTATTTGAAAGAGCAACATTTTTATTCGAATTCCTGACGGTGACTTGAAATGACAGCCTTTTGTCTAATTGTTTTTTTAAAAAAATCTTTTAGTACTCAAATTGGCCAGATATACGCATACCGTATCCAAATTGGGGCATGTTCGAAGTGTCAAAAAACAAACGCATGGTAAAAAAGTTGATGTTTGACTTTTTGTTGTGTAACACCACTACATGCAATTTTTCATTTGTATTATTTTTTGATGTGTTTATTACTATCTCGTATCTGACACCAATATTGGGAGGACAGTATATGACTGCATAATAATACACATTTTCTCTTATGTGTACATGTTTGAATAATACTGGAGCTATTTGTCAACAATCACACCTATGGAGGTGCTTTTGTTCAGCTGACTGATACAGTTGGTTATTTCCGACGGCCGACGAACGCATCGTGTGAGACGTCACGGTACATGAACGATGTTTTTAAACTTTGCCCATTTATATCGGAAAAACGCTACTGTCTCGAGCAGAACGATGGTTAGGTTTACACATATGCTTCTTTTATTCCGGAAAACCCTCCACGAATCGTTTGATTTGATGTCGGGACCAGTGTGGACAATTGTGGGCCATTGTCGCCGCTAGCCGACCTGCTAACGCACGCTGACATTAAAAAAAAAAAAACAAAAAAAAACGCCATTCCGGGTCGAAAGAAACCAAAAACTCGCAGTGTCGACTTCACTTTGGGCCGGTTATGTTTGTTCCTGTACCTGAGAAAAACAAAGAAAATAGAAATGTGAGTACATTCTCTTTGTTAAAGCAGAAATGTGTCCGATTTGCCAAAACAGTCATATTTCCTAGCAAGCAAAGTGACACAAGAACCGAAAAGAGAGATGGGTGTTTTACCTTTGTCGGAATCCATTTTTAAATTTGTAAAGGAGTCTCGAGTGGAATCCTTAAGACATAATTTGATTGTGTGTGTGTGTGTATTTCAAGTAGCCGTTATTTGGGTGGTTATTGTAGTCCAGGAGCTTGAGGCTGTCAACTGCAAACCTGTAAGTTGTGATGTTCTTCTGTGTCCTTTGTCTTAGCTCCTCAAGACACTCAAAAGACTCGGCGAACTGCCGATGACCGTCGACATCCTGGTGGTGAGCTAGTCCCTGGTTTGTTTGTCTAATTCATTCTAATTCATCTCACTTTGGATTTCAAGCAAAGATTTGTGTTCGCTAGGAAACTGGAGTAGGAAAGACCGTGAACTCCTTTCGGAAACATGAAGTAGCTGCAGAGGTGGCAAGAAACCTTGTAGCCAAGTGGAAGAAACTGGTTCCCCAGTCGGCTGACAGGTGCGCTCGTCCATGTCAATTGACATGAGATACACACGCCATTGGCTGACATCTCACCCACCTAACTGCATCCTCTTTGAATGTAAAACATTATCTCGCTCACTGCCTACTTTTTCTTTGGAGTGAAACGCCGACTGGTTTGGTAGAGGTACACCTTGTATGTTCATCCTTTTTGGCCGCACCCACACAAACACAAGTATTTTGTTGTTGTCGGGGTTGTTTTGCATCGTTACGTTAACTTTGAACACATCTATGCTTTGAGGTAGCATGAAAATCAATAAAGACAGGTGACTTTGCAAAGAGCCTTGTAGAACACCACTTTCAATGCCTGTTTTGGGATGTTGAATTATGAGATGTGCAAAGATCAATGCACTATTAGGAGGCATATTATGTCGTGCCTCCTTACCTAGTCTTTTAATATTTAAAAAAAAAAACCTCACATCCTCATTGGCTGTCTTGTTACTCTCTTCGAAGCCATGAGCTGGTTGACTTGTCCGTCATACTAGTTGAATGAAAAAAAAAAAGTGTTTTTTTTTTTTTTTTCTCTGTTGTATTTATCGACAGTCGAAGCAGCAACAGTCATGTGAAAGAGGCACCACGGTCACATTCTCGAAGCGCTGATGTGGCCCTCCATAGACGCCAGCGCGAACCATCCCCCGAGGAAGAGGAGCATACCTACCCTGAAGAAGAAGAGGAAGACGAGCGAGGCTATCGCACTAACTACTCTCCCTCACCACCTCAACGACAGCAGTACAGCCCCCCACAGCCTGGGAGTGACCAATCCGACAAATATGACAGCCCTGGTCCGGAGCTTGAGCCAGAGCCCGAGCCCAGCCCAACTCCTCCTCCTTCCCGCCGGTCGCCGATTCCCCACAAACACGGCAAGCCCAGCAGAGTTCCCAAGAACCCCCACCACCACCATCACGGCGACCACTCCAACCGCGGCAGAGACAGCGAGACGCTGTCGCGCCACGTTCCCACAAGCCGCGGGGACGGGAAGAAGCGCAACGCCGAAAGGGAATGCAGCCCAGCCACAAAGCCCGCCAAGCACGGCAGGAAGTCTGACGGCAGCAAGCGGGAGGAGACCAGGAAGGGAGGAGATGAAGGTGAGACTTTGGTCTGGGCAGCGAAAATTCTTAATGGAATTCCACATTTGACACAGAAAAAAAACAATTAAGTGAATGAAACTTTTCAGAACATTTTGGGAACCTGTTTTTGACATGTCAGTGATTTCCATGTTTCCATAATTCCACAGGTTTCACATTAATAGTGTCCATTTTAAGAGAGAGTTTACATTTTCACCTCCTTCCACATTTTTTTCACTCATTCAAACCATTGCAGCTTAAAAAAATATTCAGCATTTTAAGACTGGGGGAACTATCAAGTCGCTGCCAAATTTTTACTATAAAGTTCCCCAATGAAGAGACATTTGGCATATTTTGCATCTTAATTCCACATTTCTTGACCGATTTAAACCACAGTCTACATTTCAACAATTCAATTAATTCCACAGCGCTTCAGCGCGGCTTCAATAATTACGATAGGAATTGCAATTTGTAGTTAGTCAATGCTGGATTAATCGGCGAGCATGTTTTTTTTTTTTTTAATCTACACAATGTGTAATTCCCTTTGTTTTATGTTTAGTTTTACAGTAAACTTCAACTAGGAGCTGACACTTTTGAAAAATTGACTAGATTGCCCAAATAAATTTGTAATGCATTTGTATCACTTGACAGGGCGACCCCAAACACAGAAAGACTCACTCGGCAGCGAGGAGGACAACGACGACTTTGAGACGCCCACCATGTCCTTCGAGTCCTTCCTCACCTACGACGCACCGACGTCCTCCGTTAAGAAGAAGAAGAAAACCACAGCGGCGTCCTCGTCCTTGCACGTTCGCCCTTCTCGCTCCTCCTCAACCGCGACGCCGACGATGAAGCCTACGTCCTCTCGTCGCGACGCACCTCCTGCCGCCTCCTCGTCCTCGTCTTCATCCTCCAAAGGGAGTAAAGCAAACGGCCTGGAGCGCACAAAGAGGTCTCGCTCGGGCTCCTCTTCAACCGTCCTGGAAAAACGCAAAAGGGTAAGGAAGCATAGGTGGAAATGAGTCATGCATGTGTAAAAGTAAGTCACAACCTTGAAGTTTCATGGTTAACATCCTTTTGTTTTTTTTTTTCAAGGTCTTTTTCCCCATTTATGATTAATTTTAAACAATAATATGATACTGTATAGCCAAAGTGACACTGTCTCCATGCAGGTGGTGGAGGCCGTCCCGTCACTTCCCGAAATCCCCCTGCCGGCCATCCAGCCCGATTACAGACCGCTGCCCTCCATTGACATCACGCCGCTGTCCCCTCAGAGGCGGAAAGGTAATTCAGAGGCGCTCTCCGCCAATGTGGAAATAAGAGAAAGTTCACCTGTCATTGAATCGATCCAAATGCATTTAAAGCGGGCGCGAGGGGGATAGTTAACGAAATACCTAAAACTGAAATTGGAAAAACATTTTCATGAACAAAATAAAAATAAAAATGAAACAAAAAAATGGAAGTTCATGACATCATTTTCAGCGACAGCAGGCGCAACCGGAACGTATCCCGACTGCAGTATACGAGGTGTTGACCGCATCAGGGATGTCGTTTCCTGTTTTCCCACACTTGAAAACAACACCCTATGAGGAACATGCATCTTGACTTTCCCTCGCAGGTCCCGTCTTCAACGACGAGGAAGACGCCGGCTTCACGGGCAAGCGCTTCAACTCCAAGATGGTGGTCTACTCTGGATCCAAGACCGCCTACCTGCCGCGGATGATGACGCTGTACGAGCAGTGCATCCGCGTGCTGCAGAATAACATCGACTGTGAGTTGAACCCCCGAATTTTTGTATTTCCTTCCATAAATTTCAAACCCTGACTGTATCGCCGCTCTTTCAGCCATCGATGAGGTGGGAGGTGTCCCCTTTGAGATTCTCGGGCCGGTCCTGGAGCGCTGCACTCCAGAGCAGCTGTACCGCATCGAGCAGAGCAATCAGGTCTCACGCATTGATTCTTGTAGCATTCCTATAGCCTTTTTTTTTTTTTTTGGGGGGGGGGGGGTATTGGTTCACTAAAATGTGTTTATTGATTTAATTTTCTTTTTCATTCATTTATCCCATGAAGTAATTGGATAATATATTTATTGTTAATAATAAATTAAATATATATCAGTAAAACGGAGCATTTACATGTGCAGGGGAAGCATTGAAATTAATAAGAATGCAATGAATCCATTCCAGCACCAGACCAAAGTTGTTTACTTT